GGCAGCTTCAGTATATACAACATTTTCAGTTAACATTTTAAAAAACATTGATATTACATTCATATGATATGCAATTCATATACCAAATGAGAATAAATAGTCAAAATAACCATGTTTTCTATGTGTCAATTTACTCTAGTGGGAGCAGATTGCTACTAGATTTGTTTATTTGATCTGAAAATATGTAAACACGCACACACACACACACACACACACACACACACACACAAGCGAACAGCAGTTTAAGGCAGCTGTTATTCTAGACCTTGCTGTTTTCTCTTATAATATATTGTATTTGTCTAACATTACATTAGTTACATTAAAAGTTGCTGAGGCCTTGCTCCAGACTGGTTTGATGACCTGGGACAGATGTGTGAAGTCAGCTTCAAAAAGAGACTGTGACTACCTGTTTTTCAAACAAGCGGCTCAAGCTAGCCAGGGCTGTCTTTATACAGTTTCAATGGTTTGCATGAACTGTTTTGCAATCAGTTTTATTTCCTAAGTTTGAAAAATGGTTACAATAATTATTAGTTTGTTCCTCATCTCTTTCCCCTGCCTCTGCCAACTCTCCCACTGGTTGCCACTACCATTTTGATCTAAATCTGTACTGTTAGAAGCATAAGCAGTCTTGCAAGCTACAAGGAAACTTTTTAAACTAGGCACACCTACAGGTAGAACAGTGTGCCCAGTTGGCAGCATATGTGGTTACAAAACCACCCAGGGTGAGATATAGTTTTGTCTCTTGTGGTTAATATTTCCATCTGGTAGAGTTTGGGTTCTCATAATCAATTCACCAGCCAAAGCTAGATAAATCCATTCTACGTTTTGTATTACCTTATCTCCTCTGGCAATATATCAGGTTTTCTCATTTATCCTATAAGCAAAACAACATAGAAACTTATTCTTTCAGCTGGCACTGTTCATCCCTTGTCCTTATGTCTGTCTCTCTTAAGTTCTTGGGGGTATTGGCACAGTTATTAGAAATGAGGGAACTATGAGTTTCCATGATTCTACTTCATTCCCTGTTCATAGAATCTACCCATTAACTCCTGCTATTGTCTGATTAATAGCATTTCTTTAAAACTCTTATGGTTAAAATTATTCTTTCCATAACAGTTATGCAAATACGTATGATTAAACTTCATGAGCTATTATTACTCACTCAGGCAAACAGTATGGCTAACACAGTGAAAACAAGGAGAGCACATAGCACAAAAGCTTCTGAGGTCATGCCTGGAATTATGAAGTGAATTGTCCACAGGTTTGCCAAGGGGTTAAGATCTCCAGGTTCTTGCCACAAGGAGAGCTGCTCATGCTATTCTCAGGTCTTGTTCCTCAAAGAAGTCTTATATTCAATTGCTCCAACAGTTGATGGATTTAGATTAATCACAATATTGTGCTTTTGCTAGTGAGATGTAGATTATTTCTGCACATGTGCAAGAGTATTTTCCTAAAAACATACTTGATTTCCCAAATGTTGTATGCATTTTATTACTTTTTATAGAATTCACAACAGCTCGTATCCCTAGTTTTATTTTTATTAATATTTAACACATATTAATAAGGCCAATGAAAAGCCATCAGAAGTTAGTTGTTCCTTGTGATGTATCATGCTTTGTTCATGACCATGGGCTGTGATCTTAGTTATCTCAGAGGACAAGAGATGCTTAGTTACACTTTCATCATCAAATAGGAATGGGAAGTGTCTTTCAGTTATCACTCGGAGAAGAATTCCCCACATATGCTTCTCCATCTTTCGGGAACTGAAGATCCAACATTCTACATGCATTGTGACATCAGTGATATGTGTAACATGTCTTTCAATGGTGCTGTTTGTTAATCACCTACAGAAGATTACTTTGAATTATGCTGCAAGTGTGACTAGATAGTATACTAACTTTTGAGAGGTTCAAGGGACTTGTTTTTGTCTCAATGGAAGGACCCCAAGTGAAAAATAAGATGGGATATATCATGATATAGATCATAAGAACAAGGAACTCTGAAGTGTCAAGAACAAAATATTCAAGTTTTATGGCATGAGATTCACTCTGAGAGGGAAGTGATCTAAAATATGGAATGATAATAAATCATTATGATAAGTTGATTGACTACAAACCAGGAGAAGATGAGAATAATGTAAATAGAGTAGGGGAACAAAGCATATTCTGGAAGAACATTTCATTATCAAAGGGCATTTCAGAATTCTATACACTATGTGCTAACTATGATGATAAAGCCCACATTATGATTGAAATAAAGTACAGTATAAGTCATGGGCCTAAAATGTATTGAGGGGTTATAGTCAGGGCTCTCTATGGATTAAGAATGCTAGAGGAGGAGAAAACAATATAGAAAACTGAGAGCAGTGAATGTTCTGTAAGGAAATGTCATCCTTGGAAAATTTAGTTTTCAGAAAAGGAAATGGAATGCAAAGAACACCTGAGAAAATACAAGGTGATTAAGATACTGGGCATAAATATGGTAGATGACGGTTGGTTATCAGCTGCAACATTAGCTAGTCACGTGACAACAGAAAAGTTAATTTAAGTTCATAGACCCTAAATTCATCATTTCTATTCAGTCATAGCAAAATAACACCGTGCCATGAGTCCTTTGTTAGGAATGGAATATAGCTCAACAAACAATAGCAATATTCTCTGAGGGAGGAAGAGAAAGACAAGGGTTGGTGAACATTATGGTGGGGAAATACAGACTAAATTGGAGTGAATTGTCAGTATTCCTTAGGACAGCAAGTTACAATGGGAAAGAAACAACAGCTAAGTTTATAGAAACTAAATTCAGGTAGCACCAAGCAGACAGCAGCAAAGAAAGCAATGCATCTGTCTAGCACACGTTGAGAATTGTGCATGCTCCATGTGCACTACACTGAAGAATTGTCCTATGCTGGAAAATTTGGGGACTTTCTTCAAAAGTTTTTTTTGGCTTTACAAGACAGGGTTTCTCTGTATTGTTTTGGAGGCTGTCAGTCCAGTCCGGACTCGAACTCGCAGAGAACCGCCTGCTTCTGCCTCCCGAGTGCTGGGATTAAAGGCATGAGCCACCACCGCCCGGCTCTTCAAAAGTTTTAAATGACACTAGTGATAGATCAAGTAAATAATCAGTATATTCACTCGGAGTATTTGTTTATACCTCCTAGGCATAGACCATCACCTTAGTTTCTAAGCACCATATAGCAAAAGACACACAACAGCCCACTGGTAAATCATGACAAGAGAGAATTAGGGAAGGGAAGAAATATGAATGTCTAATACATGTGAGAAAAAATACAACTTTTGTCACTTGTCTTAGGGCAATAGTTTAATTATTCTGTGCACATTGAATATTTAAGTGGAAGATTTTTATTAGTATTTATGGGAAAAGTACAATATCCCGAGTGATAGTATAAAACTGCCCATCTTGTTCCCTCCTCATATTGTAACATTACATTTACTCATTCATGTTAATAAAGTAAAACAGGAGCATCTATTGTTTTGTTGCTTTGCAACGTATGCATACTCTTAGAAAATCATGGATGCTGTCCGGAGTTCTACAGTCACCGAGGGTGTGGTTCATTGTGTTTCTTTCCTCTGTTCTGTTCCCAGCATGCCTTTCACTTTTTCTTTGATTGCGATGGTGCTATTTTTCTCTGTTCTGTCCTTTTCTGGGTATGGAAACATAAACGCTGAATTAATCCAACTTAGGTAACCCTTTGGATAATTTTTTAAGCAGCAGGAAACAGGCTATCTAGCTGCGCAGATAATGATATCAGCTGCTTCCTTCCAAAACAACAGGTGCTTTGGCAGAAAATGTATGTCATCACACTGAGATGATGACATCAGTTCATACTTCAGCTTAATTATAAACCACCTCCATTAATCCTCCAGTAATTAAACATTTTGTGTATATTGCAAGGTGAAATGTAAAGTTAAAGGTGCTCTGTGATTCATCACAGGGTTTAAAAAATTCTTTTCTTTACAGCAAATATTTCATTGCAAAACAAAACAGATATTCCCATCTTTGTGGCATACCAGAAAACTAAAAATTTTCTCTCAGAAAAAGATAAACACTAAGATATTAATAAAATATAACACTCTTATATGTCATGCTCATTTAATGATACAATGAACAAAAGTAGCTATGTATGGTATATCATGTTTCAAAATTAATAATAAAACTCTTTAATTATTAAAATATGAAATTTTTGAAGCACCTAAATTATTACAAATTCAGTTTTATATTTTCAACAACAAATGTAAAATATGTTTATTTGGATTTTAATAAAAATCTAAGCTAGTTAATTCTGATGAGTAACATAAACATTACAAATCTAGGAGCTTTATTAAGAATGAAACAATTTTTCATGAATATTTGAATCCTTGGTTAAATTTTCAATACTTAGAATTTTCATGGAAATAATTTTGTGCTGTTGTTAACATGAAATGTAAAATGATATTTTAAATATTTGAAGTTTTTAATTCAAAATATAAATAAAACAAATAAAATATTACTGTACCTTTCATCAGCTTTAAGAAATGCGGCTGATGATTTATTTGAGACAGTTGTTGTCTTCAGGGGCCTCATATATTTCTAAGCAAATTGTTTATAATGGATATATATCTAAGGACATAACCATTTATGAATCAATTCAATCTGCATTTGTCGTTTGTTACCAGGTAAGACCCAGAATTACGTCTTTGATATGAATGCAGAGTATTTCTGCATACAGTACTTAACCATTTGATAAACGTGTTACTTGTGGGATGGTAACAGTGGTTAATACAACTGTGCATTAAGAAATAGCTATTCCCGAAGATCCTATTTATTCACTGTATATCCATTTAGAGGTCCACCTTTTGATAAATGGCATAAGCTCTTGGTTGTTGCCAAAGTCACAATTATCTCTTTATCATGTAGCTGGCATTACAAGCTGCAGAAATTTGTTCTTAAACAGATTAGTTTTTAAAAACATAACCAGTTAACAAGACTTTGTCTCTTTGTAGGCACAAAATGATGTATTCATCTAAGCAGAGTGTTATCTTTTACAAGTGAAACTCCGGCTGGAAAATTTTTTGTGGATTTAGTTGGAGCATTTGGGGGACCATATGGAGCTCTCTGAGGCGCCACGGGACCACGCGGCTATGAAATCTGATCACCTTCTCCCCAGTGACAGCTGGGCCTTTACACCATCAGAAAATTTTCAGACTTCTAATTTGTCATAACTACCTCCTGTGGAAAGGAAATATGTTATGTAGCCAAACAAAAAATTTTAGTACTCAGCCCTATAAACAGTTAATTCCTTAACTTCATTTTGTGGTTCACTGATGCAACTCCTACACCAAAACCATATGGAGCCTTCAAAAGATACGGCTTGCCATTTCCCGACCCACTCCAAAAGCATTCTAATGGCAATGCATATAGAGAAAGGTTCTGTCACAGGGCTTAGCATCTTAAATACATTTAACTTTTGGTTGTTCTCAAAAAGTTGCTCAAACTGTTGAAAGGTTTCATCTGGGTTCTAAGAGCACTTGTCTCTCTTTTCATCAGACATTCTTTTGAGTGGTTGAATGTTATGCTGTGGCTCATATTCACTGCCACTTTCCACATGGAGAGTCTGAAACAGTGGCTACTTCCATCTATCAGCGTGTCATCCCTAGATCCAGGCACTTAAGGAAGAAGTGCTTGCTCCTCTCCCATTTGTACATTTATGCAGGGTTTGTGTTTCCAGTCTTCTCAAAGTGCTGCTGTGGAAAGAAGTCATGAGATATAATTTGCACTTTATCAACCCAACTGTCATTGAAGACAAAGCTTTAAGAATTGAAAACAACATCTACTGCTGGATGTTGTTTTGTTTGGGAGCCTTTTGAAGTATCACCTTATTAGACAATTAAATACATACACTTCCTCTTTCTAAGTATGTGAGGAATACCGCCTTTACTCTAGTTACAAGCAAGACAGACTTCATAATTGTCTCCCTTTCTTCTTTCTTCAGGTTACCTGCACAGATATTAGGGCTATCTATATTCTCCCCCTTTACTGTTCAGTGTTCCATGTTCTTTAGTAACTGAAAAACAAAAATAATCTCTTATAATTCCAAGAATGATTCATGTATGCTAACATCTATTTTTTACTCTTATGTCTGGTAGGGCTTAATAAATAAATGAACTAATAAATTAAACTAATTGGGTGAACTAAATTTTAAATGAAGTAAATAGTTCATGTATTAAGTGATTAAAAGTATCTTCAAGATAGAGACAGATTTCTATTACCATTTTTAAGATAAGGAAGCCAATGTACCACTGAGGTCACAAAATTTACAGTAGATTTAGAGTTTGAAATAATTTTGTCTTATCTGGACCAATGATACTAATCACCATGACAAAGTATGAAAGACCAAAGTAGAATTTTAGCCAACTGACATTGAATAAAAAGTAAATGGGCCAACTTGACTGACCTCATGACACTAACAATGATGCCTGCTCTGAGTCTTGGTTGTTAAATTATTAACACTACAAAATTAAACCAGTTATATTTTTGTCACAATAAAATAACATACTCTAGACTACAATGTTGAGCCATTTGTGCAGAAATAAATCATATGTTATCTTTAGCGGTTCTCATTTCCATATTGTTGATACAATTGATTTATACATAACTTTTAATACATCATATACAGACAGAAGAGGGACAGTAAATCAGTCAAGTAATCACTTCAAAGACATAGTAATTGCCCATTTCTTTTCAATTCTACATCCATGTCCTCTAATGCATCTCAGTTACCCCTGCTTAATCTGCAAATGCAAACAATGTAAATTTGAGGCTGGGTAAATAATTCAGATGGTAAAGTGCTTGTTCCCCAGCATGAAAAACCAAGTTTGAACCCCAGAAATCACATAAAAATCTAGTTGTAATTCCAGCATTGGGGAGACAGAGACAGGTGGACTCCTAGATCAAACTTTATAACAGCGAGAGACCATGTCACAAACAAACAAAAAAGTAGTCAGCTGCTGAGGAAAATCACCAAAGGTTGTCCACTGTCATCTACATGAACAATACTCAAATATACACATATACAACAAAAGTAAAAGGAAAATCATGTGTAGTACTGATATGATAAAACTATGCCAGGAATAACAAGAAAAATTGACCTTTCCTGTAAATGAGGATGCAGTCTTTGAATTAAGTTCATTTTATTGCATTGATATCTTGAAACTCAGATATTGTGAGAAAAGGTTAACAATTGTTGACGCATTTTATATTAAATAATAAAGCAGCAGGGCCATAAAACTCTGCTGTGAGTGAAGTTTCCAAGACTACACTAACGTTATATGTCAAGCCACCTGTCATAGCACAGTCCTGAACTGGTCCCACTATTACACTTTGCTCTCTGTGAAGCAAGTTATTTGATATGAATCAGTAATATGTGAATAAGAGAGCAGTAGTATAGTGGTCTGTATATTAATGGATCACAGTTTGATAGAAGCAAGTGACAGATTCCAGCAAATTTCCACCCAGAACAAATGTCTGAGCAAGCACAAAACTTTGCCTCCTCTATTGAACCTCTTCTAGGAGGGATCCAGTAGACTCAGTTTTCTGGATGACCATTCAAGAAAGTGGTTCCATAGTGGATACTCCAATTTTGTTTTGTACATTGCCTGACAAAGTAAAATTGGCTGCAGTAGGCAAGCTTTGATACATCTAAACCTGTGTTGCTGAACTCATGCCCAAGTCTACCTTTTCAGTCATGATTGACTAAGAGGAGAGGGAGCCTAGATTGGTACCCATGGAGACTATCTGTTTCAATTGACTATTAATATCTTTTCTATCCAGGCTACCCTTGCTAATCATTTCTATAGGAAATAAATATCTTGAATTTTTATCTCTACAACACCTCATAGTCATGAAATTGAAAATCATAATACTTTCTAAGTACTTGAATAAGCAAAATCTTTGACCATCAATTATGAATTATTATAAACCCCTGCCACATTTAACATCTTAATTATATTATTGTTCTGTATGTCAAAAGTCTGACACCTATATCAAAACTGTGTTCTTTCTTAATAGCCTCTCACAGAGCCTACTATAAATAATGAGAAGTTATGCCAAGGCACCAACACTTTGCTTCTTAGTCCTATTAGCAGAATGTCTGATTTCATGGCTTCCAGCCTTATTTCCCCTTAACTTTGGGAAATAGGCCCTCTAAGGTTTTTTTTTTGCCTTTTCCTCCAGCTTCTAAGAGTTTGCTCCTCATTTCCTCTGAGACTCACTAGGAGCATCTTAGTGTGTGTATATGTACTTAGAGTCTGTTCATGAAATTTTAATTATTCCCTAAAATGAGCGAGGTGCTCTTTTCCATATTTCTCATTTCCTTTGAAAAATTAGTAACAGTTATCAACACCCATGTTTTTACTAGAAATATGTGCAAGGAAATACAGATATTTTCAAAAGGATTATGATCAGAAATATTCCTCTGGTGTGTTCTTACTGCCAAATCCTCACACCACAGAGCACATTGTTATGTGCCTGTTCATACCTCTTTCATACCATATCCTATGCATATCAGAGTACAACCATAAAAATCATACAGATATAGAAATCTATTACAGGAGATTGTATTCATGTGGGTGGGTATTACAACATCCTAGCATTTAGGAGACAGAAGCAGGAAATAAACTGTTCGTTTAAGACCAGTCTGTTCTTCACAGTGGATTCCAGGCCAGCCAAAGGTCTATAGGGAAATCTACCTCAAGAAAAACAAAACAAAATGATAATCGCACCAAGTAAACAAACTAACAACAACAACAAAAAAGAATACGGGACTTTATAGTGTGATTCTGGGTTTCATGCAAGCAAGTCTGATATTCATATAAGAGGCCCTTACTAATGGCATGTTAGGAACTATTGATGTAAATGTCAACTGTTGGCAATGGATATAATTTCTTCCACTTCAGATAAGCATTGGTACTGGTTTAAGATCTTTCAACATATTGAATCAGGTGCACTCATAGCATCTAATGTGACTTTAAAGTTATCTGTCTATTGTCTTTAATCAGGCTTATAAAACACCTTAGTAAAAACATATTGAATGATGTCTTATAAATGATTGGAATTTTAGATACATGCAGACATCCAAAAGTGCACAACCGTGTGGTAGGTGTCAATATGAACTTTCTTGTTTTAATCTGTGTTTAAGAATTTAAAGCCAGAACAACAGGAGGTTAATCAAAACTTACAAGGACAATTGTATCCTTTGTGGTGTTAGGGTTAACACCATGGATACTTGGGACATGTAGTAGGTGCTTAGTAAGGTTAATGCTTAGAAATATTCACTCAAGTAGAAAACAGGATGTGTAAAACTTTGCAAAATATTCCCAGAACAAATTGAAAATTGTTTTACAGATATTTAAATGCAAAATAGAATACTATATTACAATTATTTATTCACAGCTCTCTCTCTCTCTTGTTAGGATGCAATGTCATGACTTTCTCAAGTTACTTATCTTTACCTTCCCCATTTCTGGTTCACTCTTAGCAAGTTTGCTCTAATGCTTGGAAATTGGTTTATTGGTTTGTTCATGTTTTCTTTGAGGCATCATGTCATTGCAGTGTTACTTTATCATTTTTCATAACAGGATCATCACTGAGAATAATTACTATTCATTATAGTTACAATTTTCCATAAATTAAGAAATATTCATAACAACATTCTTGCCATCTTTTAGGAGTGAAAATCCACAGGGTATCTATGATCACAAGTACAGCAGAGTTGGAGAGTGAGACAAATATTTAACAAATGAACATATGTGGAGCCAAAATAGTGCCAAGAGTTTACAGCTCTAGAGTATGTAGTATGCCCTCAGAAAATTTCATACAGAATATTAGTCCAATTAAATAAATAATATGAAGTGTTGTTTTAAAAGGATGGCAAGCAAGGACACAAAAGAATCATTATATGAAATGTTAATAGATCAAGAAACGCTGGTAGTGTCTTGCCGAATGATGATTTTTTTAAGAAAGTTTACATTTACAGTTCTGTTAAAGAGTTTGTGATTGTAAGAGAAGCATCCCTATTGTTCTATAGTTGTTGATAATTGAACAGTTACAATCTTATACACTTACCACTGATCCCTAAGGTGGGAATAAAAGTAACAGAAAATGCCACAACAGGAAAGGAATCCCCTAGAAGAATACATGTTGGCAATATAAGCAAAGTTCAATGTTAGTCCTTCTGTTGAATGTAGCTTCTGAGATCAGAATCTGGCTGCTACATCAAGTTTGGTATAGTATGGGATAAATCAAGCAAACTCTGTGTGCAGTGATCAAATTGAGATCCATTTACTGGTATATGTTTCCTGGCTTCTGCCACTGCCAGGATAATTGCCACTGCCAAGGCTGTATGTTCAGTAAACTCAGTCAGTCAGTCCAAAAAGTCATGTGATGCTGCTGTATGGTGCCAAGCCAAGGGGTGAGTTGCTGGGGAGCATGGGAGGGGGGAAGCTCATACAAATGAGCTTTTTGG